CAGAACGCAAGAAAGAACCAGGCCAATACCCCTAGGAGCCATGTCCCCAATCCTCTCCTTCCACTACCTCCTTTTCTAACACCAACACTAAAAACCAAGACACACAGGAAAGAACCAAGGAGATTTAAATCCACTCTCTTGGGAAATCATTTTCCTGAGGCCCTTCTGATGATCAAAATAGACTGCATTTATCAAAAGAGAACTATGAAAAGCAATTCACACCACCCATAATCCAAAAACCTGGAGGTGACTGCTGTTTATACTTTGATGTATTTGTATACACACATATATTTACAGATATACATACATATATACCAAGACAGAACACAGTACACATTCTTTTGTGGCCTCCTCAACTGTAGAAGTAATGGCTCCAATCTGGAACCTCCTGTGGTGGACTATGTACCAAGCATGTGGTAAGGTATAAGGATAGGGAGAAACACTTTTTGGGTGGTAGATGAGTAGTTAGATGTAGATATGTAGAGAGATAGAGGTAGAGAGATTTACTTACCAAAACAGAATGGTACGTATTTCTTTCTGATGCTCATTCTTCACTTAACACTAAGACACAACCACAGTCTCATATTCTTCATTTTTGATATTGTGATATTAAATGGCTTTGTAACATTTCGTCATGTCAATGTTTCACAATGTACTTACCTAGTTCGATCTTACTGGGCACTTAAAAATTGTTTCCAAATTTTTATTTTCACTCCCAACATTGTTAGTGCACAGTTTTTTGTACCGTAGCCAAGAGTAAATATTATCACTAAAAATACATTAGCCAGTTTGAAAAATACCTTGTTTTAGTTTATACAGGCTGAGCATCTGTAATCCAAAAATCCCAAACCTGAAATGCTCCAAAACCCAAAACTTTTTGAGTGCCGCCATGATGCTCAAAGGAAATGCTCATTGGGGCAGTTCAGATTTTCAGATTGGGGATGTTCAGCTGGCAAATACAATGCAAATATTCCAAAATCTTAAAAAAATCTAAAATCCAAAACAGTTCTGGTCCCTAGCATTTCAGATATGGGATACTCAACCTGTATTTCTTTGTTTACTAGGGAGGTGGAACATTTTTTCAAGTTGCTTGTCTATTTTCAATTCTTCTGTCATAATTTTGCTATTCATGTCCTTATTCCAGCTTATTCAGGGAATATTCATCTTATCTTGTTTGTATTTATTTGACAGTAAAAGTATCCCCTTAATTCTTTGTCATACTTAAGATTGCAAATATTTTCCCTTGTTTGTAGCTTACCTGTAAATTTGTGTCTGGTAGCATTTTAGTGATCTGACATATTAAGTGTTTATATATTGAAATCTTTTTTCCACTGCCATTTCTTCTTTTTCTTCTATTCTTAGGAAGGTCTTTATTTTGAGATAAAATAAACAACCATTATATTTTCTTCTATATATTTTATAGGTTTTTTTTAAACTTTACTTATCCTTGAATTTATTTTGGTATTGTGAGGTAGGAGACTAAGTGTATTTTACCCCAAATAACTAACCCAGTATCTTAGTATCTCAGCATCATATTATTTTTAATTTAAATTATTTTTTTTGAGACAGGGTCTCCTTCTGTCACTGCAACCTCAAACTCCTAGGCTCAAACGGTCCTCCCACCTCAGCCACCTGAGTAGCTGGGAATACAGGCATGTGCCACCACGTCCAGCTATTCATTTGTTTATACACATTTTTGGAGACAGTGTCTTGCTATTTTGCCCAGGCTGGTCTTGAACTCCTCGCCTCAAGTGATCCACCTGCCTTGGCCTCCCAAAGTGCTGAGATTACAGGCATGAGCCACCTTGCCTGGCCCTCAGCATCATTTTCAAATGTTCCATTCTTTCCCCACTTATCTAAAAAGAACATCCTTATCAAATACCAAATATATATATATACACACACATATATATACATACTAGTGTATATATATGTGTGTGTATATTGTGACTTATCCTTTGAGCTGTTGGTCTATTCTCATACCCCTCTAACATCTGATTATAGCTTTATAATACATTTTAACAAATACAGTGCAAGTTATTACTCATTTTTCATTTTTTTTCTAAATTTTCTTCATAGTCTAGAATACACCCATGTATTCTCTCAGTTGAAGATTTATAATCTAATTCTGTATTCCTTTGAGTCCAAGATGTACTTCCTTCAATTGGATTCTGTGAGCCTTACCCTATAGCTTCACAATTCATTCTTTCTTTTTAAACCAGTCTGAGTAGATTTTTGTTCCTTAAGGTTTTATCTCAGCCTTATTCTATTTCCTCCTTCTATGATCTTATCTAAACAGCTGACATCTGTCATCTTTAGGAAGAAGTCCAGATTGATATAAATAAAAAGCTAACATTGGCTGAGTGTGGTGGCTCATGCCTATAATCCCAGCACTTTGGGAGGCCAAGGTGGGCAGATCACTTGAGGTACGGAGTTCGAGACCAGCCTGGCCAACATGGTGAAACCTCGTCTCTACCAAAAATACAAACATAAACAAAAATTAGCCAGGCGTAGCAAGGGGGTCAGTATGGCTGAAGTAAGTATAGGAAAGTAGTAGATGAGGAGGGAGGGGCATGGGGGCTGTCGAAGATTAGGGCTGGAAACATTGCAGGTAAAGATTTCTTGAAACCAACTGTGCGCACAGTGGCTCACGCCTGTAATCCCAGCACTTTGGGAGGACGAGGCAGGTGGATTGCCTGAGGTCAGGAGTTTGAGACAAGACTGGCCAACACGGTGAAACCCCGTCTCTACTAAAAACACAAAAATTAGCCAGGTGTAGTGGTTCATGACTGTAATCCCAGCTACTTGGGAGCTACTCAGGGGGCTGAGGTATGAGAGTCACCTGAAACTGGGAGGCGGAGGTTGCAATCAGACGAGATTACTCCCTGTACTCCAGCCTGTGCAACAGAACGAGACTCTGTCTAGAAAAAAATTTTTTGTGTGTGTGCTGAAAGTGAAACTTTACTGATATCTTAAGTTCAACCCTTTTTTTAAATTATACTTTAAGTTCTGGGGTACAAGTGCAGAACATGCGGCTTTGTTACATAGGTATATACATGCCATGGTGGTTTGCTGCATCCATCACCCCGTCATCTACATTAGGTATTTCTGCTAATGCTATCCCTCCCTTAGCCCCCTACCCCCCGATAGGCCTGGTATGTGATGTTCCCCTTCCTGTGTCCATGTGTTCTCATTGTTTAACACCCATTTATGAGAATATGCACTCCAGCCTGTGTGACAGAAAGAGACTCTGTCTCAAAAACAAAAAACAAATTTCTCGAAACCCTTCCCAGAAGGCCTTAAATTGGGGAATAGGAACTGTGTATTAATAGGGTTCAGAACCACCTGGCAAAGATAGTTGAGTGACATTGCTACACTGCACTTACAGCTGAGGGACAATGGGAAGGAGTATGAATGGGATTTATTTAAGGAAAGTGAGAAGAGAGACACATTTACTCTCTTCACACTAATGTACAGTCAAAATGATTCATGGTGCAGAAGAGTTTGAGGGCAGAATGACAATGATACGTGATCAGAATAACTAGATAAGGCTACCCTGAAAAAAAGTGACCTTCGGGGCTTAATATTACTGATGAGGTACAGTGCAAACTGGCATTGGTTTTGATTTTCTAAAAGGCATGCTGCCACAACATCCGTTGGCCCCACAAATGGGCTGGATAAAACTCAAGTTATTTTAAGAATATTGGAAAACATTTATAAGGCAACTACATACAAGATAGAAGAGTACAGAAGTCGGGTTTCTGTAACCATTTAATGGAAGGCATTTGCTTTAAAAAAATCTATTGTTTCTGTGAAAGGCAGGATGTATGGTGGTTAAGTAAGTGCATGGTCTTTAGAGGGCAAACAGAACTGCGCTCAAATGTGCATTTTGCCACTTACTCCTGTGTGACTTTGGTTAAGTAACCAACTCAAGCCTCAGTCATCTCATCTGGAAACTGGGAATGATGCCCCCAACGTCAGAGAGTTGATGTATCAAATGAAATAGTGTGTTTAAAGCGCACAATACTGTAACTGCTCAATAAAATTATGGCTTTTTCCTACTAAAGATGCATTGTATGGCAAGATTTCTCCTGTTCATTATGCATACCTCTTGAAATTAAAGGAACCCAAGCTTACACTGCTTTCAAAATACATGCAGACAGTAAAAACAAAGGAAAGAAAAAACATTTCATCAGAATTCTAAAGGCAGTTCTGGCATTCAAAAAGTATACACATTGAACTTACAAAGATGACCCTCCAAGTTGACTTTCTAGATGCATGGTAACCCTCACAGCAACATATATCGAACGACTCTTCCTGATATCAGTCATCTTAAAGTGCTTCTTTCAGAGGCCTCGTGAGGTAGCAGAGTTATGAAGGCCATTTTTTGACTTAATTAAAAGCTACTAAATGTTTTTCAGGAAATGAAACCCTAATGTTCTGGAACTATGGAGGGAGCCAATGTCTAATTCCTTCTCCTACCAAAAATACCCCTTATGTAAAAAGGAGCATGTTTATGTATGTGTTGTCATTTTATCCAATTATATAAAAATTGAGCATTAGACTGGATTGTAAGGAATTTAAAAAAAAATTTCAGAAAATGGATAGCTCCTCCCCATATCACGCCATATCCCTGATGTATATCTCACCCAGAATGAAATAAACTTCAACAATGAGTATACTTCATCAATGCAGACAGACATATGCTGAAAGTACATTTGTTAAGATGTTCTTACATTTGATAGATTTCCACATTTTGTTTTTGATGATTCCTTGTAATTTCCATGACTATGTAGGCCTCCCTATTTGAGATGTCTGTACTAAAAAGGTTCTGTACTAGTGCCTTCCTAATGACGGGACTTGGTTACATTGCAGACCTATGAGATCCTATGATTCCTGTTGACAATCCAAGAGACTAGAATTTAAGGAACTTAAATTAACACAATTAACTATAAGCTCTTAAGGCTGGGCATATGGAATAAAAATGAGGTTATCCATAGTGGCATGGAATGTATGATCTTTATTATTTTTTAATCCATCAATCTAAAACCACACATACTAGATCAAACAGGAGTACCACAGTATGTTTTATTTTGCAGGTATTAATTAGTTCTCTAAACTGATACATCCAAAACTTTAGTTAGCAGCAAGATCAGTCCTTCTAAAGCAGCTTAGATGAAAAACAATTCTTTACATTCATGAGTTCAAAGTCATACTGTCTGATCCACTGTTGTGTTGACATAAAAATGAACTCAGCAAGCAAAGCTAATTGATCACTCAGCTCATAGATTTTGAGCTTTCTGTATCTTATTGGAGTTGAAGCAGTTTTTAACCCTCTGTTAATATTCTGTATTTTAATTCTCAAAGAATTAAATATACATATTTTCTAATTAATTAAGACAGAGCCATGATAACTATTGAGGAATTAGTGATATTAGTCTTATGCCCAAAATGTAGAATGCTTGTAAATGAACCCATAATTTTGAATGTATCTGAATTTCCAATGTATATGCTTAGCGAGGTCACAAGCTGATTTAATTAATCTGGCTTCTAGACAATCATCTTAGAAATATGTATTGAAATGAAGCCACTATTCTTTATGGTGCCATCATTTTAACCAAATGCTTTTATAACAAGCAGTTGTTCTCCAAAGAGAACATGTTAAAAGAAAACATTCTTTACGTACTTAGCAAATAGAGAAGAGTGTGAATCTGCATGTCAGAGCTATAGAGTTCTAGAGGAGCTGTAATTGAGCAATCTAACTTTCTACTCCAGTTTGGAATATATGTTTTTGAGATGTACATATAGACAAGACAGTAAAGGAAGATTTTGATAAATTTTCTTTAACAAAATTTTGTAATTCCAGTTATTGGCAAAGAGTTCTGGCATGAGTTAATGGCAGCAATACAGTGGTGAGCATCTGCATTGTGCTGAGAGGTAGATTGGGACTTAATCCTTGGATTTAATAACCAACTCACTTTAGTTAAGGTTCAGGTTTAACTTTTTCAATCCAAAAAAAAAAAAAAAAAAATCTGAAGTGAAGGCAGATCTTTGGGAACTTTTGTTTTTAGTTGAATGTAGAGATAAAATAGCTTGATAAAATAAACATCTGACTTACACTAATGATAGGTGTACAAAGCAGCCATTTGGACCCTAGACAACTTCAACACTATGTTTCCAAATAAAAGGGTCATTCGACAGCTGAACCAATCAAGCAAACATGGGGATAAGCGGTCTCTAGTACCTTACTCCAGAAGCCAGAGCCATCAGAGTTCCCTACAGGGATATAAATCTACATCAAGATCAACAAATTTACAGGATAGTCTTGGTCCAGCTTTGGCTAGGCAGCCATCTGATTGACAACACATCAGGGCCCACTAGCCTCTAGAGTAAGCTCTTGTTGCTGAGAGAAAAAAGAAATCAGTATATGAAAAATATCAGCTAGAGTATATTCATGTAGGGAATTGGAGAGTGCAGGAGGCACACAAAGTATATAGAGTTTTTGTTTTCAGTGCAGGATAAATGAACCTTCTCAATAAGTTAAGGCTCTGAGGGGAAAAAAACTTTCTAAATAACAACTTAATAAACCATAACCCATATAGGTGTTCCAAATCAACACCTTTTTAAAAAAGCTGAAGGTCTTACTTCATCCTTCAGTGTAAATGTCAAGTCTGAGATAATCAGCAGATTTCAAACTCCAGAACAAAAAAATAAAAAAAGGAAAAGAAATCTCCTTGTTAAAATATAGTAGTTACTAACAGTAATGGAGAATACAGCCAGACTTTTTGCTATTAAATATAATATGAAGCCATTTCTTTCTTAACAGAAAAACATGGATTTAAGTAATGCTAATTAGGAGGTGGGGAAAGGAAGTCTTATCATGAATTGAGTTTCATGTCTGCCACCAATGAAAATGAATTCATTATGTTCTTAAATTTTTTTCCTGAAGCAAGTTAAATTCTCTAACAACTTTGATATTACAAGTAACATCAAAGTAGTAAAATATAAGTAACTGTAACATATAAAATTACACATCAGTAAAAATGCTTTCATAATTGGATCCAGGGCTTAAAATCATTATTGCCTTAAAAAATTATAAGCCACAATTGTTCTTTTAATTATACTTTAACAAAGGAAGAAAAAAACAGAAAAAAATTGTTCCTAATATTTTTTGTCTTAAATAAGTGTACTCATGCCCAAGTCAGCTAGCAAGCCACTGAAGTTAGTCTGTATATCTTACACAATCTATTGCACAGCTGGTCCTGGCTTTTAGCCAATGGAAAAGTAACTTCTAATTGCAAAAAAACCCAAAAAGCATTTGATTTAATTGATTACACAGACTGATAACCAGTACGACTTTTCCTTCTTCCAATCATATAAGAGATAAAGACAACAATTATAAGGAAGCCCAAGGCCACACCCACTGTAACAGGAATAAGAAAGTTGAGGTCAGAGTCAGCAGAACATTCTTCAGCTGTTAGAAAAGAACAGACAGCAAGGAAAGTAAGTTAGTAAAGAATGCAATTAAGTAGGAAAAAGCATGCAAGAAACAAGCATTTTGAAAGCGTACATAGCTTAGTCCTTTATAGCATTACCTCTATTTTCTTATTTGCTCAATAACTCATTATCACTGTATCCAAAATCACATGAAATTCCTCAGTACAAAAAGCAGAAGGTAAGGGAAGAATGGGAAAGGGCCCAAAATAGATAACTGTGCTTGCCTAATATGGGAAGACTTTAGGTCTGATTGTCTAATAACACTGGGGAAAGGAGCCATCATCCACACTTAAAACCACTGCTTGTGTATTTCCTTACTCTCTTTCTCCTTTGCCACACCTATAATTAAAGTATAAATAAGAATTCTGTATAAGTAATAGAATTTAAGTTAAAAAAAGGATCGAGAATGTACTATGTGTGTGTGTGTGTGTGTGTGTGTGTGTGTGTATATATATATATATATATATTTTTTTTTGCACAGGCATTAGGTAGCTATCAGATTATATACAATTAGTTTTAGCTGAGCAGTGGCCTGGAAGAATAACACCAGAATCTAACACATTGCAGTCCATTCCGCCGAACCACCAGGAAAGCAATGTGTGCAATGTAGATTTTGAGTTCTAGATTCAGACAGAGCTGAGTTTAAATCTTGACTCCTTCAAGTACTTGCCAAAGGACCTTGGGCAAGTTATTTAAACTGGGCCTCACTTTCCTCTTCTGCAAGAGGGGGATAATAATACCTATAAGGTATTTGAGGATTAAATACAATTATATTTTGAAAGCATCTGATACACATCAGGAGGTCAGCAAGTGTTCATTCCCTTCTCTTTTCTTCTTATGCTCATGATCCCATCTGAGGAGGATTAGGTTTTGAAGTAGCAAACAGACATCAAAATAGGAGTGTTTTGGTATATTACTATTGAAAAAGCCAATATCAGTATTTAAAAAAACCAAAAAACTTAAAACATAGTACAGAAGCCCAAAGTGCCCAATTCTGGTCTCATAATTTCAAGTGTAAACCAGATTGCTGTTTTACTGTTGAATGACTAGATTTCATTGGGGGCAATTTTTATCAAAATGCTAATAATAGTTGCGTTGCCCACTTGATATGGAAACTCAATAAATTTCACTCCCCTTTCCGTAAAATTATGGGGTTAGAGTAAATAATCTTTAAGGTCCTTTCCAGTAATAGCTAATGAAATTAACAAAATGTGTTATCTGGTGTGATTTAGGACTGAGCAATAACTTGTCTTTTTCCTCTAATTTTAACTTTTCCTCCTCTTGTACTTTTGACATTCATAAAAATGTTGCTATGGTTCTGAGTATATAACATTCAGTAACTACATTAGCCTATGTTGAAATAACTTACTGTATTTTACTGAAAGCTCTCAGAGACTGACAGCTGGGCAACAAGATACACTGCATTGTTAATCAGAAAGTTACAGAAACTCTGATCATGCCAATATATACTTACAATGCGTTAATAATACTTCAACCCAGAAGTCTTCTCATCTATTAATCTTTCTTTTTTATCTATGTTTCGTATCTGTGCTACTCTTATACCATGGAATATGCTTCAACAAGGGCTGATTGTATAGCTCATTTTAATGCCAACAGCTTCTCTTTACACCCCCATCTATGCACTGCTCCACCGGGGCCCATCTTAAAGAAACAAGAGTCTAGTTGCTATGCTTCACTACCTCCCTTCTGAGATTGCTGTTAGCTTATATTTCATAAGTACCACTCTGATGACAACACTAAATAGATTTTAATGCTCCAGAGATCAACAAGATGAGGTAGAGAAACACAACACAATCTGTCCTAATTAGTTCATAGAATACTTCTATCTTTCAGTACTAATCAGGCATCCAAAGAAGAACAAAACAAAAACAAAAAAGGAAGTGGTTAAATATGCTTGAATCTTTTCAGTCTACATTGCTGAAAAACAAACAATTCTCTTAAAAACTCTAATTCTGAAGCCAGTTTAAGTTCTGTTGGAGCCTCTCGGGTCTGTATCATCCCTAGGGAAAAATCACCAACCTGAGGTACCAACTTCATCCTTAATTTGAACTCAGAGAAATCAGCAAAAGTCACATAACCTTTAAAATGCTGATGGTCCTGAGGACATTTCCTACTTCATTCAACTGAAAACCAAGTTTAAGCATATCTGATGGGCATTTACACTACATCAATATTTAATGAACTTTATGCAAAGGCACAGTGATGAGTTTAAATCATGATAGACCTTATACATTGAAACGGAACACCAGTAGTGAAATGATATTTATTAATTCTATTAAGACACAACTACATATTTTATTTTTATAATGGCCATGTAAGTTCAAGGCATACTTCAAGGTTAGGATCAAAATTTGGCCAAGGCTTCTTAAGATAGACTTTAAAACATTGCACATCAATGTTCTTTTGAACAAGTTTGTCTCCAGGACTAGTAAATATTATACTTTGGATTTTAAACTGATCAAAGAGAACAGGTTTCATTAACAAAAACTGATCCCAAAATGCTGGGATTGATAAAAGAATTAAAGTTTCAACAAATCAAATTTAAGAAGCAAAGTGTTCTAACAACTGAAAGGTAAGAAAACCTTGTTATTTGCATGTATTTTTATATTATCAATCAGCTTGCAGATTCTAAAATTGCTCATATCCAGCATGATGGCGCTTGAGACCAATAAAATAAGCCAGCAACACTAGAATAAGTACTCCTGCCAAGGCTGCTCCCACCGCTATGGGCACAAGGAAGTTGTCGTCATCTGCACTGCAGTCTTGAGCTAGATGTGGAGAAAGGACAATTGAGAACAGAAACAGTGACAAACTTTCAAATCTGTGAATTTTTGAGTAAAATGACAGCACTTCCAGACAAGCATATTTTGTTTTTTTACACCAAGGCAAGTCATTGGCATTCATTATCCGCAAATGAGATGTTCCACAAAAGTGATTTTCCAAATAGCCAAACCATACACTTTTAAGTATCAAGTCAAAATGCGGTCATTTGGGATGAAAAAAATATATAACATGGTCACATACTTCCCAGATTTCTTAAACAGAACATAATGAACAAACATAATGAGCCTTTCCTCGATGATCAGGCCATGAGCTTTCAGAGGCAAACTGTTATGATGTCGAAGAAGCATAGTGCTTCAAATACTGCTGATTGTTAAGTATTAACTCACTGAATGAACAACCATACAAAGCAGAGATAAGGACTCAATACATAACAATCTGAGGTCATTTACTAATGGGAAAAGAGATATAAGCAGGACCTGATGACATAATTGTTAGCCTCAAGATTCTGAGTCTAGTGTGAAGAGTCAGACAAGAAAAATCAGTGGTTATAATTTCAAATTGTGTTGTGGTAGGAGGAGGCAACACAAAGTGCCATGTTAAAATTTCAGAGTCACACTCAAGCTCAGCCTTATTACATAAGACACACTGTGAAAAGGTGACGCTTGAGCTGAGATTTTAAGGATGAGTAGGAATTAACGATGCGAGTAATGGGGGAAGGGCATTTCAGGTATAAGAAATAGCAAAGACAAAAATATGGAGGGTAAAAAGACACAGCACTTCAAGAGAAATGCAAGCAGGCTGGCATAGCTAGAACAATGGATCAAAAGGTATTCTTGGCAGGACAGAAGGCAGAAAAAGTGTACCAGGACCCAAATCACAAAGGTACTATATGCCCTTAGGTAGTTTGGCCTTATCCCGATTAAAAAAAAAGATTTAGCAGCAGGGTACTAAGCAGGATTTCATTTCAGAAGTTATGGCAGATGGAAGTAGTAAGGTAGGAGGTGTCTCTATCACCAGAGTTCAGGTAACCAATAATATTGTTCTGAGCTGGATTAATGAAGTGCAGAAGAAAAGCAGAAGGCATAGACTGGAGATCAAATTAGAAGGCAAAATTGACCAAATGGATGTATGGGGTATAGGAGTAGGAGGCAATAGAATGGTTTCTGATTCCACGTTTGACTGATTATGTAGATGCTGGTGCCATTCATCATAACAGAAAATAGAAGAGGAAGAATAAATGTATTTCAGTTTTTTGTAGTTCTGTGGGGCAGGGGGTGAAAGGATATTTGGAAGAGAAAGATGCTTAGTTTTGGACATGTGAGTTTAAGATACCTGTGTCCTTAGTTGAGCACAATGGTTTACACCTGTAGTCCTAGCTACTTGGGAAGCCGAGATGGGAGAATTGTTTGAACCCAGGAGTTTAAGACCAGCCTGGGCAACATATCAAGAACCTATCTCTACAAAAAATAGAAAAATTAGCTGAGTGTGGTGTCATGCACCTGTAGTCCCAGCTATTCAGGAGGCTAAGGTGGGAGGATCACTGGAGCCCNAAAAAAAAAAAAAAAAGACTATGTCCTAACCAAGTGGCTGTATGAACCTAAGTAGTAGTTAAAACATGAGCAAGAACACTTCTCAGTAAGGGGAAGCAGAATAAAAAGAGGACCAGAGACAAAGCCCTTGGGAACACCAATACCTGTAGGATAGACAATGGAGTAGGAAAAAGAAGTAAAAGGGGAGGTAGAAAATGGAAACAGAGAAGCCAGGGAAGGAGAGTTTCATTTCGGGTGGGAAGATAGCAAATAATATTAGAGAGCTTTGAAACATGTTCACTGGCTCTAGCAGTATGAAGGGTGGGAGATATGAGTAAAACTGCTGCAGGTTTAAGAGAAAATGGGAAGTGACTGGTTAGGACATCAAGAACTTGGGCAGGGTAACAAATACTCATTCTGAGAAGTTTAGAATGATTAAGAGAGGACAAAAGGGAGGTAATTAGAAGGGGGACACAGGGACAAGAAAGGACAGCTTCAGGTTAAAAGAACTTAAATAGGATGAGGGAAACAGCCATTAGCAATTGAGAGATAGAAGATGCTGAATGGTACAAGGTCTCCTACATGGTAAGAGAAATGAGATTTCAGAAGCATAAGACATAAGAACTCAATACTTAACAATCTG